AGAGGTTGTCAAAATATAGGCCATAAGCCAAATATATTCATGTTTTGTATGTATAAATGCAGTTTCATTGGAGCTCAGCCACACTCATTCATATATATATTGTCTATGGCTGCTTTCACTACAATGGCAGGGTTGAGAGTAGTTGCAACAGAGACTGTATGGCCTACAAAGCCCAAAATATTTACAGTCTAACTCTTTGCAGAAAAAAATTTGCCTACTCCTGCTCTAAACCTCAGTTTCCTCTTCTGTACAATAAATAAAATAGCACATGCTTCAAAGGGGTTTGAGATAATGCATGAAAAATACTTAGCACAGTGCCAATACATAATAAGCACTCAGTAAATATAGCCATAGCTGTTGTTATTATAAGATTTACAGTTTTTTATCTTCTACTGGTTTATACAGTGAAGGTTGGCCTAAAATTCTCTTCATTTTCAACTCATTAAAAATAATTCTTTTGGTTACACTTGTTGTTCAAAGATCTTCCCAGTCTCTTTTCAACCTGCATTGCTGCTTAATTTTCCATTACTCTCCTTCATCTTGTTCACTGTAGCCCAACTGTACACTCTACTGCCTTCTTAGACCTTCTGTTCTATTCCTCCTTTCATCTCCCATTTCCACATGCCCAAGTTCAGTCCATCTTCCACAGCCTGCACCAATGTCACTCCCTCCTTGAATTCTTTTACAATGTGTGGGCACACTATGCCACACAACCCCCTCCACTCACAACAAAAACAGACACAAAAGAATATTGGGAATAAACTCTCTCTCCACAATCTTATCTCTATATCTTAGGGCACACATCACTTTCTTTGATGTCTTAATCATTTATATACTTCTAATATGCACTCTTTCAGGGCAATACCATTATTACTGGTAAGTGTAGTCTGTAGAGTACACCAAACTGTGTCGATACATAACAGTACCTAATAGATTTTTTTTATGCATATATTGTATTTTTTTGCTTTCTCAAGTTGGATTTTTTCCTCTTTTCAGACAGAATTCCTTGATATAAGCCAGCTGTCTTTTATCCGTGATTTGGGACCAAAGGGCATGTAAGTTCCAAGAGATCTTTAAAAAGAAATGTGAAAAGCTGATCAGCATTAGCATGTGATTTGGCGGCATCCATGGTGATGGGGCCTCCCTGGCTTTACTGCCAGCTTCTTTTCTCCCCAATAGAGTTAGAGCAACTAAGCAGATCTGTTCATATAAAATAGAGCATCTTCTACAATAAACAAGGGTAGCAACTGCTTCACCATCTTTCTTGTGGGCTTACAGCACAGATTCCCTCTAACCCAATAACCCATAGCAAGTGTGGTATGTGGGAGAATGCATTAAAAATAGAATATGTAAGATCTCTCTTCTAATCACTATGAAAATTAACTGTTTATCACTCACTTTGATGACTATTTAAAAATAATACTGTGTAAAATATATGTTGAGTAACCAGATGGAAACATACTTAATAATTATTTTCTTTCACAATATTAGAGCTTGATAATATAAAGAGCTCAACTTTTACAATTTTGTTCTTTTTGTTCTTTAAGAGCATTGTTAGTAGTTGTTTCAAAAAAATTTTTCCTTTGTTTAGCCATTGTTATTGCTTTTCCTTCTCACATCTTTCGAAATCAAGATGTTACTACCTTCAAGGCTAGTAACTTTGTTCTACTTCCTTTGGCGTGGCCCAGTTGCTAAAACTATATGTGAAGGGATGCAGCAATGCCCCGCCATGGACTCAACAGCAGCTGAATCATGCCTGTGCAGACATGTGGAAGGCATGGGATCTTCTTCAGGTTGCCATAGTGACTGGAGGGAACACAGCATTTAGAGCCATGAGCCAGGATGCTTAAGGTCCTGCATTGTGCACAACAGAATTATGCTGCCCCAAATGCCAAAAAAGCTATTTTTGACCAAGATGTTTCAAGATTAGTTGCTAGAGTACCAGCCTAATAGATATGACACTAAGTTAGCTGATGGTGAAGGAGGACATTGTGGGGATAAAAGTCATGCAAGAATGAGATGGTTTATTTAGTCACAAGTCGTGAGGCTGAACAAGCAAAGGGAGAGTTGGAAATTTGAAGATGATAGGTTAATTTGATGTCTCTTTCAGAGAAGGTATGATAATGAAAAGATCCGGGGGACACAGAATACCAGGTTTGAATTGCTGTGGCCAGAGAAGAGCCTGCTACAGATGGTCAAAAAGGTAGGACTTAATGAGTTTGTGTGTTTGTTTTGATAAACTGGGTATTTGGGAGAGTTTTATGTACCAGTTCTAAGTTATAAATCCTTTGAAATCCATGGTGAGCAAATTTTTAATTATATTTTAAAATCTAAGTTCCAGTATTCATTTAAATATTCTATCTAAAACTGGACTTATAGGTAGAGTGTACAAATTATTTACATAAAAACCCAATGGACATAGAACTCAAAAACTGGTCAGCCTAAAAGATGTACAAATGGCCAATAAGCACATGAAAAGATGCTCAACATCAGTAGTCATTAGGAAAATGTAAATCAAATCCACAGTAAGATACAATTTTACACCCACTAGGATGACTATAATAAAAAAGATGGACAATAACAAATGTTGGAAGTTGGAACCTCAGATTGATGGGGAAATATAAAATGATGTAGCCTCTTTGGAAAACAGTCTAGCAGTTCTTTAAAACGTTAAACATGGAGTTACCATGTATCCCAGCAATTCCACTCCTAGGTACTCATCCAAGAGAATTGAAAAAAATATGTCCACACCAAAACTTGTTCATAGCAGAATTATTCTTAATAGCCAAAAAAAAAAAAAAAGAGGAAACAACTAAAATGTTCATCAATCAATGGATAAACAAAATGTGTCACTTCCATACAATGGAATATTATTCGTCCATAAAAAGGAATGAAGACTACTGATGGGTGGGGTTTCTTTTTGTGGTGATGAAAGGGTTGTGAAATTAGCTGGTAGTGATGGTTGTACATCTCTGTGAATATGCTAAAAACCATTGGATTGTCT